CCGATACTCCCCCCGCTCATAGGGAGTGTGTACAGTTGATCATAGTTACTGGGCTCCATGTGGTATATACCTCAATGATTTCATAATGCGACCTTTTCTCTATGTGGCTTCTGAATAAACTTGTATGACGAAGTTTGATCTTTGACATTTTACGTACCTTACTGCTACATGCATAATCAATACATGTAGATCACCAAACATAAACATGAACCACGGTTAAACGTATGTATTTCAACATGACTTCAGTACATGCATCGTATATATTAAAAAGTCATTTGAAACATTTCCACAATGATATTAAATGGTATTATCAGTACATATTCAATTGTTTTTATTATTAGTAGTAGTATTATTATTTATTGTTTGAGATGTGCACTCGACAATACAATTGAAATATATACAAGTTCACGTAATACACTCTGCGGGCACCACAGTCCCTCAATACATGGTATAACCTAGACTGGCACAGTCGGGCGATTAATTTGTTTTTGTAGTTTAAATAAAATAAAAAAATTCGCAGAAATGGAGGTGTTAGCGAGAAATCCCCCCCGACTGGCTCATTCTGCAGGAAATTCATTGCTATTAAATATTCATGAATGCCTACAGGTGGGCGCGGAAACACGTGCAAAATGAGGTGAACATGAGGTCACACTGCAGACATAACATGGCGGCACGTTGAAATTCGAGTTTGTCGTCGTTTCTAATTCATCACAATTTGTAAAAAAAAGTAACTCGTACTAGTCGCAGAATTTAAAAAAAATCAGCTGCTACAACCAACCGACGTCTTCTCGGTCTGAGATCAGTTGAAGAGATGTTGTGATTGGCTTAGATGATTGTCAGTTACAACATCATTAACATAATTACCCGTTGAAAAATCGACGGGTACCTGCAGTGTCGATAGAGGGCCATGCAGAATAAACCAGTCGGGATGATTTCACAGTTACAGGGGATTTCGCGCTAACATCTCCATTTCGCGAATTTTTGTATTTTATTTGAACTACAAAAATTAATTAATCGCCCGACTGCGCCAGTCTAGGTATAACCTATAACAATGAAAGTTTAAACATGGAAGGTCCGTTTGTACCTTCCATGGTTTAAAGGTGTTGTTTGTTTACCGATGTCGGGTTCATGTCAGGCACCCCCCCCCCCCGATATACAAAAAGCCGTAAAAAACATAATACATTTATGTACTTATCTAGTGTATTGTTAAGTTAGTCAACATTCAAGTTCAATTTTACAAGGTATGTGAAATCACACTATACAAATAAATCTGTTAATGATTACGGTACCACGACATGTACCTTAAATGTCAAAACATGACCAACAAGTCTAATACTCCCCTCGTGTTAGACCAACCGCACACGAATAACACGTACATAAACAGATTGGACAATGTACAGAACACGCTCGTGCACATTACATGAATATGTCCCACGGCAAAGTTCAATGCCCCACACGAAGCCGTTGCATGATGCGGGCGAGCTCCACCTACCGTGTTCAAAATGACTCGTTTCGACACACCTCCCACACGTCACTCGCCAAGGCTTCCAATTTCGATCGCTATCAATGCAGTCCGAGTATGAAGTGCCGTAACGTCCTGGTACCTAATTATTCATTATCGCTCATCATTGTAGCTAAATCTCGCCGTAAAATATCAAATTTGACTCTGCTGTAACCATCAATGCATCGGTGAAGTAAACGTCGCGCTGGTATCAGTCCCAAAATAAGGCGACAGCTGGCACCAGTGAGGTAAACCTGCCAGCACACAGTGTACGGCTATTGTATGTGACGTATTACTATGCACATTAAGATTTGCATATATTAACATACAATAGCAACCCGGCCTGTGCTTGACCACGTCCCTTACTCCCGGTTCAACGAGAAGGTGTTTAGCAGTAGGGTCGGATAGATTTACACAAACCAGAGCAAAAACATGTCCGCTTCGCCTTTGGACCGACGTCAGAATAGGCAAGCAACTAAATGACCTTTGTTTTTAGTGTGATGGCTTGTCACATGGTACCTGCACATATGCTCCAACTATGCGGTGACGATGGTGACGTGTACACCACCATTTTTATTATAACGTAATTTATAGCAGCGATGTATTGTGTAATACTACGAACATTTTAATTTTATAATGAATCTAATTATCAAAAATTAAGAACGCTAACAATAAATTGATCAGGGAAGACAAGGTGAACGCGTCACCCTCAGCCTGGAAGTTATGATAGTTTCAGTCCGGCGCATTGGGTGCATTTTATATTTGCTCAATAGTTTCGCCATGAAATGTAGGTCGTACAATTGTCTTATATCTCACCGTGGCAGATATATAATTATTAGCTTGATCACATTACTTAATTTATATTGAGTTTAGTGTAATATACGGCAATTGTCAATACTAATTTTCCCTTCTGTTATTATTTGTCACTTCTTGCCTGGACCTGTCCACCCTCTGATGGTTAACTACTGTAAAATGACTAATTTTCACTGGGTTTAAATTTCACTGATTTACCATTTCAGGCATATTCAGTGGGTTTTAAATTCACGGTTTCGTCATTTAGATAATGTGCTCCATGCTAAATTTTACATATTCACTGGGTTTTAATTTAGCGCATTTTCCAAGCGGCGAAATAAGCTAAACTAAAACCCAGTAAATAATTACCCCCTTTACAGTATGCCACAACCCAATAATCAGCACCTGCGTTTGCTTGTATACATACCGTACGTACTTGATATTTTCGGGTATTTTATTTCGACTAAATTAAATTACTATTTTTTTTTCAGATGAGCCTGAACTCAGCAGATCAAAATATTGTCCATTCAATTCGCATTCCGCAAATAGCGAATATGACGACTCAAAATATCCTAAAATGGTGTGTTGTGCACACTACATTCATTTCGCATATACGAGCGACAAGTCCATGTCGTCGGTTCACTGTCATTTTTTGTTATATATTACATGATTACATTGTTTTTGTTTTTGCATTTTTTATTACATTTTAGGTTTTACCCGAATATATGATTTTTTGGCTGTTTTTGTTTGTTCTGAACTTTTTTTTTGTTTTACTAATTGTTTTTTTCCTTTTCCTGCTAAATCTTTGTCAGCCACCGTTTCTAAAGCTACCGCCTCATTCAAGATGATGTTGAGGAATGAACTTTATAATACACACTGGGTATAACTAAGAATGGAAACACACAAAAAAGTTAATAATAATGATTAGAAAACTGTAAACAGCTATTGTATTATATATTCCCCAAAACAATGCAACATTCAAATCCCAAACTGATTTGACCCCGGCAGCTTTAAGCTGTATATCGGTCGACGAAAATAGTTTCTGATTAATCGCGTTGTGTTTCAAATAAGAAGGAATATTTTTTTCAAGCCAAAACATAGATGTTATATTTATCTCTAAATTTGACAGTTAATTGTTTGTATGCTGTGTTTTCGTCGTTAGCATCTGTAAAAAGTATTGTACACTTGATAGTTTTACCATAGCGACATCACGTACGCATATTTGGTTTGCACGCTGTTGCAGTATTGTTTAGAATCAACAACTTACATGTTTAGAGTAGACATTATAAACATACATTACAGGAATTTGATAAATAAATTGTTTACTTATTGTATTTACGTGTTGCGACTTTGCAAGGCTTTAAGGTAGCGTAATAAGACACATTCCTGGTAATCACGTGACTGCTGCGATTGGCTGCATGTTTACTCTGTCACGCCTTACATTTTTATGGGAGAGTTTGTAAGAGAGGAGAGAACAGAGAGGGGTTATCTCAGCTGACCGTTTGGATGAATAAAGTTTGACTATCTGTAATAACTAGTGTATTCATTAGGATCGAATCTAGTACCTCTACGTGTAAGTGTTACCAGCCAAGCAAGTCATGTGACAGTTCCCGAACACGTCGCAAGTTTTCACAACATATGGCAGAGAACCGAATTACTTCTACGCCGATTTCAATGTCATTTAGGAGAGAGACACGCTCAAATACAAAAGACAAAGGGAAGAAAAATAGCCGAGACATCATAAATGGATGACCAAAGGAAAAGCCTGACACGTTGGAAGTCAGACGAACAACAAAAGTAGAACACGGTGAGTCACGGTGAGTTCGGTAAATTCCAGGATACCATAGAAAACAAAGATACCGAGAAAAGAAGACAATTCAACAATTATATGGAAGTGAACGGTCTGAACGGTCCACGACGAATAGTCAAATTTGCGCTTCAAATGCAAGGGAGCGCTGACAAGAGGCGCACATATATGGAAATAACACATTTGTTTTTACGCGATCCAAGATACAGATCGCTACTAGAACGCAAACAAGGCGGAAATGAACCAGTTGATGAATACATCGCTGACATCAGTTATATGTGCGCGGAGTTGAACAATAGCCCACTTAAGAACAGCTAAACCACTTCATGATGAAGGGGCATCGATCAGAGAACAAGAAGAAGCACGCCGCCGAACCAGACTTGATCAGATACAACATGGGGACGCGGTAACTAGCCGTACAAGTCAAGAATTGTAAGAGATACAAAAGGTAATGGAAAGACTCACAGAGAAAACAGAACAGTTAATAATCTAGAATAAACGAAGAAAAGAATATTCATTACAAATATGTGCGAAGGAGAATATATTCAATACAAACATGGGCGAAGGATAGTATTTTCGTCACTAAGATGGATGGAGAGTATTTTCAATTCGAAGTTAAGTGCAAACCAAATATGATGTATTCCTTAAATCGTTTACCAGGTAAGCTGGAGAAGAATGTGGCGGGTACAGTATTTTTACTGGAATGAGGGGGGGGGCTTTTCTTGAATTTCGATTGTGGAACAAAATTTGTTTCATCGGCGCGTTTTGTTTACAATAGCTGCGTCAGCGTCGCTTATGAATCAGATGTGACAGAATGTTTACAGTCGGCACCTGTGAAACTGGAACAAGTTACCTCGATAATAAAGTTCACATGTAAATTGCTATGGTTACTACTCGTTCCAATTCACGTCTGCAATTTTAATTTTTAAATTAAAATATAATGTTAATCACACTTAACATCTGTGCCCTTCCACTGAATAGATATAAGGGTTTAATTCTTACGATGTTCTGATTGACCCCGAGATTGACCATCGTCCACTCGCTCCAAAGTTAAAGCGACTAACACCTAAGGAATGATATAATCCAGTTTCTAATCAAATAAAATGAAGCTTTCGATAATGAAAAGTTTCGTTTCATATTATTTCCTTGGCAGGTTCGCAGATTACCCAAAGAGTTACTTACAAGTTAGATGGATATAATGTTAAGGGGAAACGTTTATTTATGTTCATGAATCTGAACATTGGCATTCAATTGTGAAAAATTCACAGAAAGGAAATAATTTAGTATGAATCTATCCATGATCTATGTAATTCCATCTTCTATCAGGGGAGAAATTATTCTCTTCGGGGTTCTCCACACGTGTCAGGGGGAAATCTTGTCTCTCTATCGCGTCCCCTTGAGGTACGGGATCGGGAAAGTCAATTAAGCTTTACAGACATATAAGACACACACAACAGAATACGTTTCAACTTTCGTCTTAGTCGATCAGTCGAGCACTCTATAAGACACAACGCCCTGGGGAAAAGTCCCCAAGACTATCGCAAGGCTGAACCAAGACTCGCCCAAGACTCGCAGACTCGCCCCACAACTCTCCAAGACTCGACTGCCTCTGTCGTGGAGTACTCGCCAAGACCAACTAAAACAACTTTATTCATTTTCAAAACTCTAACCAATTACAAAACAGTAAAAAGACTCTAGGGCGTAACCTTCAATCAAAAAGCCAATCACACTAAGTACTGAATACGTCATATCTTTTGATTAATCGTTCACAACATTAATAACTACGAATACCAACTGTCAGAAATAGTAGTCCGAATAGCGACGGTTATCTCGTAATTAGTTCCAAATCACTGAGTCGAGTTCCGTCCAGGACCTCGCCTGTCTAAACGATGCCAGACATAACACATTCATTCACTCGTAATCGGCTAATTAAGTCGATTAACAGATACGCGTAAACAATTTCATCATACTTCACACACAGCTTCGCAATGAATGGCTTTCGCGATTGATTGGCTTTCACGATGATTGACTTTCGCGGTGAGTCGCAGAAACTTGTTTTTTTCATGGCAGTTGAGAATCTAATGCTGTATGTTTCATTAACAACCGTTAATCTGGAAATACCATGTATAATTAAAATGATACTAAGTATATGAGATATGTAGTTATATGCATAATTGGTACACCTTAATACAAATTAGTGTTATTTACGAAAATATTTGTTCACAATTTTATAAACTGGCATGGAAATACCCACCACAATGCAAATTCACATAATTTTGTTTACTTTGCATGTGTACTACGATTGTATATAACCTGGACAAAAGAAAGTATTATGTTTCCATGCCATGAGACATTTCCCTCTATCTGTGTAACTTCATATTTTTGTATAAGGTAGTGAGAATGCATATACGTTAACTGGGATGTATATATCCTAGCTAGTTTCTAGTGCACCCTCTCATATTACTTGACAATAGTCTACAAATATTTTGTAAGCTATAAAATTGGTATACGTAACAGAAGTAAGTAAGTAAAAGTTACATCCCAGTAAGTAAAAGAACCAATGTTTCGTTGCATCTTCGTTGTATTTAATTGGCCGTAAAGGGACTGGAGGAGACAACTTAACACTTAATGTCCGTCAATTACTGAGATACAAAGGGTGACAGCC